GCTTTTAAAATCGTGCTGTGCAACACGAAAAAAAGGGGCAAATCGTGTTGGTGAACACGAATCAATAGATTAAAAATCGTGTTGGTGAACACGAAATGCCGTGAGACTGGGTTGGCCAGTGAGGTCTGATTTAGGCCGGCATAAAGCGCATTACAATAATCGAAACGAGTTGAAACAAAGGCATGAATTACACGCTCAAAGTTTAAAAAGGATAAAACCGGTTTAATTTTGGACAGGAGCCTAAAGTGATAAAAACTGGATTTAACCACAGAGTTTATCTGTTTATCTAATTTAAAAGCACTGTCGATTTTGACACCCAGATTTGTGACCATGGTTTTTGCATACTGTTGCAGGGAACCCAGGTCAATGGAAGGGACATCACCATTTGGTCCAAACACAATTACCTCCGTTTTGCTCTCATTTATATTTAAAAAGTTTAGCGCCATCCAGGCCTTTATGTCATTAAGACAGTCAACCAGGGGCATCAGAGAGCTAGTGTTTACTTTTTATATAATTTTAATAAATGCAAGAGATGCAGCATTTTCTCAACAAGGTATAATTTACATTTTTCCTCTTCCTCAGACGTCAATCATTGGGTGACAACCCAACAATGATTTGGACTTTATTACCCCAAAAACACAAGCCACAGCTTTGCTATGCAGTTTAGTTGTGTTTACAGATGTAGCACTCCAGATAGGACTCACATGGGTGTGTCCCAGTCAAAAACCCAGCGGATCCCAGTGGCTTGGGGTGTTGCCAAATTGCTAGAGGGCGTTGCCAAAGTTCTCCATTTGTTCAATTACAGGATTTAACCATGAGATGGCGCTTCATTCACAAATACACAAAGACAACTGAGTGTTGTAGAACTTAGTCTGTTTGCAATGTTTGCAGCTCTGCAGTTGTGTTTGCTGTATACTGTAGCATTTAATCACTTATTTGTTACTGTATGGTTTTCACAGGCTACTATAATGAAAAATAGTTTGCTTTATGCAGTATATTTTTTGTAATATTGTTGGGGTGTTTTTACACAGTAGTGAGAGTGAAAAACAGGATAGCACAGATTAATAAAATCAAAAATAAGATGAGTGATAAAAATAAAAATAATAATAATGAGAAACTATGAAATAAGAAATGAATAAAACTCAAATGTAATTATCATATCATATATTCTAATGTATTGTATTATTAAGTAATATCATACATTAACCCCATTATAGCAGATGCCACATTGAATGGATGAACACATTTATGCATCAATAATTACAACAGAGTATTTCTAAATACAAGTTGTAAAAATACTTATATGTATTTAATATTAATAACATAATGATTAATTTCAGATGATAATACTTTTCAGGGTTAGGTCCGGTCTGACAGCGCTTAGCTCTCTGCTGCAGAGAAGATCACTACTCTAAACAAAGTCAAAAATCCTACATCCAAACGGAATAAATATAATACATTTTTATTAATACGTTAAGTCTTGTTAATTGTTTTTCACTTTTATTAAATGTTTGATATTTCCGGTGGACATTCAAAATGCAGCATATTTTCACTCTTACACTCATATATTCTCCTTTTACATACATACATTTTCACTCTCACACACATATTCTCCTTTTACATACATACATTTTCACTCTCACACACATATATTCTCCTTTTACATACATACATTTTCACTCTCACACACATATTCTCCTTTTACATACATACATTTTCACTCTCACACACATATTCTCCTTTTACATACATACATTTTCACTCTCACACACATATATTCTCCTTTTACATACATACATTTTCACTCTCACACACACATATTCTCCTTTTACATACATACATTTTCACTCTCACACACATATTCTCCTTTTACATACATACATTTTCACTCTCACACACACATATTCTCCTTTTACATACATACATTTTCACTCTTAGACACATATACAGTATTCTTCTTTTACATACATACATTTTCACTCTCACACACGTATATATTTACACTCACACATTCATACATTTTGCTCTCATATTATCATATTTCAATGCACACATTCATATATTGTCACTCACACATTCATGCATTTTGTTCTCATATTCATATATTTTAATGCTCGTATTTATACATTTAGCTCTCATGCACATTCATTCAATGTTTACATTTAATATGAAAAATAATATATGCATGTCTGAAGACAATATATGTATGCAAGAGAAGAATGTATGTATGTCTGAAGACAATATATGTATGCAAGAGAAGAATGTATGTATGTCTGAAGACAATATATGTATGCAAGAGAATAATGTATGTATGTCTGAGGACAATATATGTATGCAAGAGGAAACAAGGGGAATTTAGCGATCACAAAGAAAACGGCCGAGACACACATTGAGACCAGAAAATGAATGTTATTAAGGGCTGTAAATATAATAAGCCTGTTGTCAATTTTAGACACAGGCTTATTAAATGTACAGCCCTTAATAACATTCATTTTCTGGACTCAATGTGTGTCTTGGCCGTATTCTTTGTTCCAAGCAAACGAGTGCCTTTTGTTTTGAAATCACTTCCGTGAGTTTCGCGGGCCTCCCCCCTCGCTCCACTGACCATTAGACCATTTAGTAAGGTAAAAAGCAAAAGGGCAAAAACGCCTCTCAGACGCTCTTCCGTTTACTTTTTTAATAAAGAAAAACAAATGGTCCGTAGATACACGGACTCATATATGTATGTATACTGTAAGGAGAATGTATGTGCGTGAGAGGACCAGTATTAATTACGGCATAGAAATATGCGAACAAACCTACAGACTGGGGGTTGGGAGATCACAGGAGTGGGGGGGGGGGGGAGAGCTGTGAAATGTGACCATCCCCCTTGGGAGAATTCCTCCACACATTCCGATGGCCAATTCGTTTTAAACAAAGAGTTCGCAACACAGGACAGCATAGGCAATATGGGGGGTGGGGGCTGGTGAACGGTCTGGTCAATGTTTGTAAACACAATCCCCAGGATGTGTCCTAATCAAACCAAAAGACAAAATGCAGATATCATTCTCTCTCTCGACTCGCTGGTATCTCGAGCTGAGTGCTCATTGGTGTTCATACTGCTCACAGGCTGGGCTGCTGTGTATATCTAGTGTATTCATACTGTACCCCTCCTCACTGTTTATCATTCAACCATTTACACCTTCCTTTTTTCCCGTCAAGAGGTTGAAAAAGATTGAGTCCTATGTTTCCAATTGGTTCCCAAATCTGAACATTGACCAGTGGCATAAGATCAGGAGCCGGGTAAATGAGAGACTGAGGAGCCCCCGAAAAACAGATCCCGAAATAGCTCGTCCTGGTTTCCGCAGCAGATAGGCCTACAGTATGGTGTCTGTTATGTCAGTTATTTTAAATAAAATGGTGAAAACTGAACTTGAAAATTGTTTCCTTTTTTTATTTTATTTATTATTTTCGGGACGGGGAGACGTGTGTGATTAAAAATTCATTCGCAGAAATGTAAAGTGATCTAACTAAGTTCTATTCATATTCTTGACGGGAAGAGCAGTGTAAATGGGTGGCCATATGCATTTGAAAAGCAATATAAATCACACAGTTATTATAAAATAGGCTATAAAAGCACCATCGATAACCATTACCTTTATCCAATTCAAACTTTGGACGGGAAAAAAGGAAGGTGTAAATGGTTGGGCTATACTGTAGGCCTACTGTATACATACAAAGGCCATTCAAGCTAGAGTTCTTCTGGAAATGTTCACATCAGGCACCTTCAAGTTAAACAATCAGGTGCACACTTTAATGTGCCGCCACCTCCGGACTCGGCTTGACTCGGTTTAAAGAATGCACAAATGTGTTTAATCGTTAATGTCAGATATGTACTAAGTAAATACATGTGTTCCTGCTCAAGATTAGATTCAACTTTATTGTTATTGCACATATTACAGGTACTGAGACAACGAAATGCAGTTTAGCTTCTAACCAGGGGTGCAACAAGCAGCGAAAAGTAATGTGCACAATACTACAGTAAACAATTAACACAGTAAATGATGTGGATTACACCACATTTATTTCGTTAAAAAGAAACGAAATATGATTTTGTTTGAATGATTAAATGTAGGGTGAATTACCCTAATGTGGGACATTTTTGCATTTCAGACTTCAGGAATATATTGCGATATGAAGCCGATACAATAAATCAAAATCCAGTACCATTCTGAAATCCCCAGTAATATTAGACACTAATAATACAGTAAACTATTAACACTGTACATATTATTGTTTGCCTGTATATCCTACATTTTATTTGTAAGCATATAATGCTTCACCACGCAGGAGGGGGCTTGGCTGTCTACAAATAAAGACGACTCCTTTTAATTCTCCCCAAATATATTGAGGCTGAACCTGAACTTTCTGCCCTGATGACGTTTTCAATGGAAATGCCATGAAAATGTGTTTTAGTTTATAAATCATAGCCAAGTTATTATTTCAATATGATGGGTAAGCTATTTGTTGGCTAATATGATGACTTTTGCCAGAAGATGTTATCAGCTTTAAACGGGTAAGGGTAAAAGGGTAAAATTATGTTATGACTGAGACTAAAGCTACATGCTACCAGGTGATGGTCAACATTCTAACTTAAATGTCAACCTTTATTGTTCTTGCATATTTCTTGGCTTTGGAAGTAACATTAGTTTACTGATGTAAGTAGCACGCTAATTAGCAGAGAATGCTTTAATGCTAAACACTGCTTGATCCATCACTTACGATGTTGCTATGGTTTTTTGGGGTTTATAAAGGCTGAGAAATAAACAAGACCCTCCAAAATCTTTAAATTAAAAGTAAAGCTTTGTCTAAAGCCCTATGCACATTTGTATCAGTATGTGAATAAATCAGATCTTGACAGACCTGGTATTGTTAAACAAAGATTGCTGCATGTGATAAGGCTTAAGCAAATGATTAATGACAATGTGAAGTTGAGATGACAGAACAATCGCGCACTGTACCTGAAGTGGAGCTGCTGTTGCTGCTGGAGGAGTTGCTGTTGACAACAACTAGAGAGACGTTCTCTGATCTTGCCGTCTCACTCTCTGTTTTGCTGGCTACAGAGGAGGAGGATGGCAAAGAGGATGTTTTTGTTGCAGATGAGGAGGAGGAGGAGGAGGAGGAAGAGGAAGAGGAGGATGAGGAGGCCTTGGATGGGGATGAAGAGGAACTTCTGGACCAAGCAGCTTTAGACAGCAGTCCTAAAGGTTTTCCCAGCACTGGTGTCTCTGCCAGAATGGAAGGGGCTGCCTGCTCTCTCTGGCCCTCTCCACGTGTCTGCAGGCTCTGTGGCCCCACAAAAGCTTCAGGGTTACTGGGCATCATTGGCAGACCACCCCCCTTAGCATCCGTTGGACTCCATTCAGCCCCAACTTCAGTCAAGGTTCCTGTCATAATTCTAGCCCCTGCGAAAACGTTGCCATCTGTCCCAACACGGACTCCTGCTTCTGTTTCAGTCCAAACTGCTGCTCCGGCCTCAGAAAACACTTTACCCTCATCCATCACAGCTTTGCCTTTAGCCCCGGCTCTGACTCCAGACCAGGGGATGGGGACTGCGGGGTCCAGAGGCCGGACAGCCCGTCTCACTTTCTCATGGTGACCTCCGTCAGCTGTAAAGGAAACATGAGGGATAGGGAGGTGGAGGAAGGAGTGGATACAGGAAAATCAGAGTTAGTGTTTCATTTGAGCAGCAGGAACATTATGAGCACTCCTTGAATCATTTGTCCTACCGGTGTTCATTTCATAAACTAAAACTTTAGGTACCAAGTGTAAGGTCTCTGTATTTTTCATGTTTATTGTGTCCTATTTTTCAGTCACTGTTCGTGGGTGTGTTCACTAGAGCTTTGGCGGTGATGGTACAGTTATACCAGACTGCTTTCATCTGTTCTTTTATTCTTGCCATTGAAAGATAGTGGAGGTTAGCCCGTGAGTGACATGTTCTTTTGACCACACTTACACTCACATAAAGAACATAATAATTAGGTAAGTGGTACGAATGGTCTTTGAGCCCATTTTGCGGAGGTATAAAGGGTAAAGGCACACAAGGAGTGGAACGGATTCTTGCGCGTCACGTTTCTCCTGTGTTTTGTGCCCTTCGTAGATATTTTTAGACTTTAGACGCTATCAAAACTGTTGGCATGGACATTTATCTATTGACACATTAAATAAGAGTAATATACTTAAGTTAAAGTTAACAATGAAAGCAACTGGCTTAGTTAAAGGAAATGTTGGCTAGACTAGATTGACTTAAATGTTCAATATAATCTGATGAATAAACAAGAAGACAATGTTGACCGTTTCCATGAGGAAACTAGTCAAACAGTTGATGTTTTCTTTGAGTAAGATAAATATGATAAAAACTGACAAAGATATTTGCCACGGGGCTAGTTAGAACTCTTTAATCGTGCATGCATACTATAACTTCAATTGTAGTTATTTCCTATCTTATCTAACATTTGATCTTCAATTCACACAAAACACACATGCATGCACACACAGCTGGAGCCTTCAAATCATTAGTCCTCATAATGTGCCCGTACAACTGTTCAAGGGCCAGGAGATTTAAAACTGCTCTGCTCACACACACTCATCATGAGAGCATACACACTCTCAAATGCTTAAATATGCATATTATTTCTCTTTCTCTCATCCGCCTTACACACATTTATCCAAAGGGATTAAATAAAAAGTCTTACATTGTGGAAAAATAGTAATAATGTCTAAAGTAGGTCAGTTATGTTTTAGAGGATACAGCATAGGGAATTAATTGAGATGTTCCAGTATACATTAGGACACATGCACACACACACACACACACCCTAATCAGCTGTGATTTCACAGATACTAATCGGATCTGTTAGGTTAGCCATGCTAGCCTGTGGATTTATTATTCCTAGAACATACACAACCACTCAGCCTCTGAGCTTATAGCTAATACTGATGAGGCTGAAATATGTTTTTCCGAGCAAAGTTCGCTGTGAGTAATGACAGTTTTATGCAGTAATTTATTTCCATTTGACAGCAAGTAGTTAGATGCATTGTAATGGATCAGCAGAGATAGCATCCAGTCAATGCCTTTAGCTTCGGCCTTTATCATTATTCTGTGAACTGTCTTCATCTTGTGTGTAGCCTCCACAAAGCCTGAAGGTTTGGCAGACTGAGGCGATTATCCTGCCTAATACGTTCAGTCTCAAAAGCACCTTGCCTTAGTGGGATTGAAAGATGAAAAAAAACAAAGAAACACTGCTGACCGGCTAACTGGTACGCTGGCTTCCTCACTGTGTCACGCTTTATTGCATCTGCTCGTTGGTTCTGAATTTAAAAGGTTTGCCATCACTCGAGCCTGACTTCTGTTTTAAGTATTGAAAGTGGAAAGCGAGTGCCAGGCAGAGTATTTTTGTGAGCGCACACTCATTTCATCCTTGTTAAGTGTATGCGTGGGTCCCACACTTCCCACGCTCTCTATGTCTCTACAGAGGATTGCTTAATTAAAAGACAGTGATTCTAAACGAGAGAGGCTTAGCATAACCAGCTCTGGGCTTAGCTGCCTTAGCTACCCCGCTATTAAGAGCCATCACTAAGCAATCTGTTTCCTGTCATAGGGCGTCACATCATAAATGTCATCAACATTTATATGTCAGCCTCCACAGGGTCCATCCAAAGCTTGATTAGAGAAGGGCACAGTTAGAAATGGTAGTGTAAAATACCCGAGTACAGCTTGTTAAACTTAATTGACATGTCATATTTCATTTTTGAAGCAATTTATCTTATCTGGAAATGCAATAGCTCTTCCGTGTTTAGTGTTGCGTTGGGAATAAATACTGATAGCACTCTTGCTAACATACATCTAACTGTTTCGAGAAAAAGTGTCACGTTTAAGTAAAGAGTGTGTGACTTGCTGCAGGAGTCCTAAAACCATAGGCTAGGGACGATGTGTGGAATTACAAAACAAAACAAACTCTGATGTTTCACTTCAATGGGATATTAAAGTACCACTAATCATGTTTTATATAAACAATGGACCAAAGGATTATATTATTAAATGTGAAACAGTCTCATTAAGTTATCATCCTACTCAGAATTGTACCTGCAAATCTTCATATAGCTCTACAGACCATTTTAGCATCTTTTAGCCATTTGTTTTGATTTTCTGTCCCGCACATTCTGCTCATATCAACCTCATTTCTAGCATCGGCAGGAAGCCGTTTTAAAAAAGACAGCCTCGGTATACTAATGGCGCTTTTCCACTGCAGGGCCTCGCTCGGCTTGGTATGGTATGGCTAGGCCTTGTTAGGCCAGGCTCACTTTATGCTGCGTTTCCATTACAGTTTAGGAACTGGGGTAGTAACTATAGTAACGCAGTGTAGGCGGAGCCGTGACGTCATCTTCAATGCGAAACACAAAACCAAACATCAGCCGTTAGCTCTTAGCACTCTAGCTCACAGCTCCTCATATCTGTTCAGAAACTAGACAAAAGTTAAACAAGTACAAACCACAGACTGTCTGTGTCATGGCGAATACTGTCGCTGGTTTATTTATGTCTGTATAGGCCATTGTTGTGGGTGTGGACGGTCGGAGCATATACTGCGTTAGCTTAGCCGATCTCCATTTAGAAAACACGCATTTTAAAAAGGTTTTTTGCCTGCCGTCTGTCTGCAGACTTGTCAAAGCATTAATTCATGGTTTTTACTAACCGGAATCAGTGTGTTGTTACTTCGGCATCATTTTGAAACGTGTATTACAATTAAATCACGGTCAAATATGTTCATTTTGTTGTAGTTGCCAGCGATTCTCTCACTAGTTTAGCATACTCAGCCCGGTTGTTGGCCCGGAAAGAACCTCGATTTTGGAGAGCCATAAAACTGTGAAAAAGTACCCGCTAGCCGGAACTACGCCTAGTGGAAACGTAACCAAAAACGGGCTCCGGGATGTAGTGGAAATGCGCCATAATTGTACTACTATGCCACACGGTTTTTTTCCCTTAGGAATTAGTTGAGACCAAAACGGAGCTAAAAGACAGTGATTATTGAACTAACATTTGTCAGCTAGACAGAAACATGACTTTAAATGAGTGTTACATTTGATCTGAGACTATCGGATATGTCCAACTTAATGGAGATAGAGCGTTATTGTTTTGCTGCCCCCAAGTTACCCTTAGTAATGCTTCTTTTTATTCGGGATGTTGGTACTTAGGAGCCAAAAGCTAATTTGCTCAGCTCTTTGAATTAATCAAAGATGGTCTTTGGCTTTTTAAATCATACTCTTTGACTTTTTTTTAACATTTATTCTAATGATTTATTATTATTTTGTGTCTTGTATTTCTATGTTTTCATCTTTGATTGTTCATGTGCACTTATACACTTTACCAGTAATATTTCTTCCAGCCGTTTTTAACCTATACTTTAATAATAAGTAATGCATACCATAAACTGGGTCCATAATGGGGCCTCTTATTAGATCATCTATAGTTATTTGAGATAATTAACATATGTGGGTTGACAGCTATCATTAATAATGCAGGTTGAATGGAGTAATGAAAGGATGAATGGATAGATGGAAGGCCTGCACAGTTAGCTGTTAGCAGTGTTTTGAGAGTCTTCTCCTCCAGCAGCTAGCCATCTGCTCAGGCTGAGAGCAACATATGTGACTCTACCATCAGACCTCTGACAAAACACTGGGATAGAAGAACCTCCACTGAGAACAAATATGGACTGCATGGATGGATGGTTGGTAGAACAGAAAGTGTGGATTGAAGAAGGGTGAGTGTGGATCATAGCAGAACTGACCTAGTTTATATATTTTGCTTGTCTATTTCCGTGTCAGCTTTTGGTAGATTATGATAATCAGCACATGGAAATGGTGCACAAAGCCCTACTGGCCATTTACGAGGATTTTACATCACGTTATATATTGACCGTAGTACCCGCCAGTTGGCATAGTGCCCACTGATGCCCCGCTGAAACTCTGTAAATGTCAACACAAGCATGTAAAGCGTTGCCAGGTCACTACCAGCTTTCAGAGTGTTCAGATTAGTCGTTCCCAGGTGGCTGGATGATACGACCGTGAATGTCTATGGTCTGTATATATGGCTTTGCCTCCCTCGATCCTGTGGTATACCTCCCAAACAGAGTTGATCCGTAGTGCCACCTTGACTGGTGGTTAGGAAGTGTGACAATGGTACAGAGCCAGCTGGTCCTCAGCTCCATGCAACTCAGAGGGAAAAGTCTGGTTCGTTGAATCTGCCAACTAGCCAATTGGTGTCAGGTTTTCAATATAGTAATCACCCAACAGGCTGATGAAAAATAAAACATGCTAATTTCCATTTGAGAGCTGTTCTGGGCAGGTTTCTTCGATACAGCAACATCATCAAGCTGCAGTACAGAGGAATTATTTAGAATGATGAAGAGTTTTGTAGCTCATGTCCACCTCATTAGTCCATGCCAAATAGTGGTGTTAGTTTTAGTTACTGGTAGAAACTGTTCCAGCCTCAGAATGTGAGAACACAATGTGCCGAGAGCTGGGCTCATTAACCACCGAGCTACTGAGAAGATGCACATAATTATGGCATCATATTACAAGATTTAGGGGAAGTGAAACTAATAGAAAATAT